TGCTGTGCACCTCTTCCTCCGCGCTCGTTAAGAAGAGGATCGTGACTTTTCCCATACACGCCGCTTGGTTCACAAGGCACCATAAGAAAACGTTTATGGATGGATCTTCGTTTTGTTTGCTTATTTCTGGTGACACGTGAAATGCATCTGATGAAAGCACCAGAGAAGAAGAATGACAGAGGTGCCGCGAAGCCTGTATTCTAGTTTTGACAGCTTGAAATGAATAAAGCGTTACTCGAACAAAGAGAGAATGGGAGAAGGAGAGAGACGGAGAGAGAAAGAGGGGGTAAGGGGGCGAGAGAGTGAAGAGGAGAGATAAAGTGGAAGAGAGAGAGAAAAAAAAGACTGGTGAGAAAGAAGTGACACTCATATAGACAGAGGTAGAGAGAGAAAAAAGTTGAGCAAGACAGAGATAGACAGAAATAAAACGAAAGACAAAGACAGACAGAGAAAGAAAATGTCAGATATAGACAAAGACAGACACCCAGAGAAAGAAAGAGAAGAAGCTCATTCACATAGAGAGAGAGGTACTCTAGTAGAATCACCCGCAGAGATAGAGAGAGTGGAGATTCACCCAGAGGGCCTTTTAGCCGTGACTGAACCTCCTTAAGAACTCACGACACAACACCAACTGCCCACACACACACATTCGCCTCCTCGTTAATCATTCCTTCATGAATTAAGACGAGCGGGTTCACGTCTCGGGTAGAAGGGCTCATCAGCGAACGTTACGAGGTTTTGCTCTACATCGTGACTAACCTTCGCATAACTACATATTTTAATTCGCTTCGGTATTCTTTCTCCTTCTACTCTTCCTTCATCTACTGCTTCGCTTCATCCTCTCTGTTCCTTTTCTTTCCTTTTTTTCTATTGCCCTTCATTCTCTTTTCCCTCATTTGTGTTGTTATTCTAATTTTTTCGTTTCCCCCTTCTTTGCCCTCCGCTTTCTCCTTCTTCGTGTTCTCCTTATACATACTGTGATAATAAACTTGCACGTTTTACTTTAGGTCATTTCTCTTTCTTCCAATTCTCTTTTTATTTACGAAATTAACGGAAATAACCGTCGTTTCAGCACTTGACAACAAAGCAGAAAGAACCCCAGAGTTTTCCTTGACATTACTAGTGGGAGTTATCGTAAACATTTGTAAAAAAAAAAATGAAGAAGAGCCATAGAGGCCTAGCACTAAAACTAACCAAGTGAGTCAGATGTTGTCTCTTTTGAATTTACATTTTCCTTCCTTGTTAACATATCACTAGCAATGTCCAACTACAATGCTAGGTCAGGATTAGCGACACCCTTCCTTTTCAACTTTACCAAATGCTACAGTGATAAAAGAAATTAATCTTCTCAACACATAGTTAATTCACGTGCACATTCTCCGCTTTACCAGCCCAGGCTGTTGCTTCTATATTTACCGTCTATGTAATTGTCTTGTTCACTTCATATTCAAAGAGGGTCCTTACGCGTGTGAGACACCTCTAAGCCTGTGTTGTTTATCTTTTTTTTTTTTAATATTTTCTGTCGCGTCAACATCTAAGGTCATTAGCGGCAAGAATTGTGTTACAGCGCGTGTGAGTGACAGCGAAAATCATTTACATTTGACTTATCTATTATAGACTATGTCTATGAACTTTAGTGTACATCTTCCTTGTGTGTGTGGAGACAAATTAAATGTAGATGTAGATATTCTCAAGTAAATATATATACTCATGATAATACTTATACCTTAATACTTATAATGATACTTATAGTAATACTTATACCTTAATACTTATAATAATACTTATAATAATACTTACACCTTAATATTTATAATAATACTTATACCTTAATACGTATAATAATACTTATACCTTAATACTTATAATAATACATGATAATATTACTTATATCATATTACTTATACTAATACATATTTCTATTACGTGTACGAGGCAGATACACGAATACTTCAAAACGATGGGAAGACATATCAATGAATAATTTACTCTACATCTATCTCTTATTCACACAACCTCAAACGCAAATATAAGTAAGCCACAAAACCTACTTGTGCCTACCACACCGAGTTATTACTTCATTTTTATTTCTCAAGAATTGCAGCCTCCGGTTCGACCACCATATTTTCCACACTAGATGCATCACAGTCCCATTGCTAATACGTCACTATACTATCACACTATTTTTTTTTCATTGCAGTACCATCAATGTGACAATTATCATTATTAGTGACACCATCACTAAACGTGCCTTTCACTGAGCTCCATTATAATTTCACGGTCATTATGATCTCACAATTAAATCGAACTAAAATTGTCACTTGCCTCATCACTGTAATGACATTTGACAGTAACGATACCTCTCTCTTATACCGTCGGTTATACTAAAATTAGCATATGTTTCACATCATTATATCAGTTCCCTTTTATCCTTTCATGCCTTTAATATTTTATTTCTTCCAATTCTTATCACACTAATCTCATGTTATCATATAATCAT